TATAATGGTTTTTAACTTGAACGTTTATATTTCTAATATTAAAACAATAGTAAAAATTGTGTTAATAATTTGGCTACAAATATTCCATGCTCTCAAAATGTCCATGTTTTTACAAATACTGCGTATTTTCAAGAAGTCTATATTTTGACAAAATAGTCATTTTACAACTTTCCTAAGAAAGATGTATCTCCTTTTCCCAGACTTCCTAATATCAAAAAAGGTGTATTTATGGTATAGATAATTAAGGATGAATTTCTTTTTAACATATTATTTTGCCTTAAATTCCTTTAGTTGGCATGATCTGGTAATAAGTTATTCTGGTTAATTAAGTATTCCAGTTAGTAAAGGGTTACCATACATACATAGCATTCATTCAGTTGTCAAAGAATTAGAATATAGGAAAATATACTAAACAGTAAAACTATACTTAATACAATTTAAATGGTGGTTCAGAAGATTCTTTAAGATCTTGAGTGCCTTTAGATTTATCATTATGAAAAATTATTATGCTTAGAAATATGTATAGAAGTGCCCAATTTAATAAAATGTAAACTGGAGTGTTTAGGGGAAAATAACCTTTTTTTTATTATTGTTTTAAACTAGGTGACAGTTAAGACTTCCTTCTCACAAATACTTGGACAGGTAAGAGAGATGCCTGGTTGGTTGATTATTTATTGGCTTGTGAATAGACATTGTAAGGAAGGGGCTGTAGACTTTTTCTATAAAGGCCAGATAATCAATAATTTAGCAGATCACAGCCAGTTTCTTTTTGCTGCTGCTATCCGTGCAGCTGCTTTTTTCCTTCTTTTTTCTTTTCATTCTTCTTCCACTTGAATAAGATATAAAAACCATTCTTGGCCCACAGGCAATAGTTGGTCAAGCCCTGCTTTAAGGTGATGGTTTCATGTTTGATACATCTCAGAAATGAGAGCTGATAACCTCATTCTCAAACAAGTTAATATTTTTGCCTAAACGAATGTCATATTAAAGACTTCATGTTGCTCATACTATATTACAATTCATTGTACAATAAAATCTGTAGGCCTTGTCATATAAATGAACATTTTCAAAGAACTTTTTGTATTATGCATGCTCAGTTTACAACAGGTAAAAATAAATTCTACTAAAGATAAATGTGTTGAAATTCATTTGCAAGTAATGTTACAAAAGTAATTTATCAAGCAGTGGAACTACAGATATTATTCATCGTTATTATAATTTACAGAATTGTACAACCTGGACATAAATAAGATAATATTGATTAGGGAACTTATATAGTTTTAAAATTCAGTAAAATTTTTATTGTAGCTATTATTACTTTTACTTTATTTTTTGGTCTCTTGTATTTTGCAATCCAGACACAGTAGAATTTTTTTTACTTTGTCATTTAATATTGTAATTATAATAAAACTCACAAATCAAAATTAAATTAGAAACAGTTTTATATGCATTATCTCATTGGATCCTCACAGCAACCCAGTGAGCTCTAGAATGTGATTGTTACTAAGTTTGTGAACACTACAAAATTCTAAGTTAATGTATAAAAATTTTGTGCTAAATTAGGAAGGGAAGATTAAATGTTAGTATGAGTTTTAAAATAGCACATTGATAGTTATAATAAGTATTTTAAAATGTTAAGGGACCAATTATTACATCTCTTATAGGGGAAAATTCATGCTATTGTATTTTTAGTATGTACAAAAAGTATATTACTGTACACAGTGATTTGGGGTGAGGATATAACGTACTCTCTTATCTCTATCATACCATGTCTCATACTTTAGTGACAAGAAAAGTCATACTAGCTTGATACTCTGTAGTCAAGCATAATTATATTGTACACCAAAAGATGACAGACCAAAATTCTTGTTTAGATGTGGAAATCTTTCTAAATAATGAGGATGTACAGGTGTTACAGGATCAGAGGTGGGTATTTTTTTAAGTATCAAGTAAAGAATTTGTGGTAATTGAATTAAATTCTTAAATTATTGAAAAGATAGAAGATGTTCTTTCTTCATGCTTGCTTAAAAATTTAGCTTGTAGGCAGTAGCCAAATGACTTAAAATTGCATAGTATATCTTATTTGTTTTTTAAAAATAATGTTAATACATACTTTGAATGTGGCTGATTCAGTCACA